GCTCTTGCGAGACAAGTTGAGCAACGACGAGGGAGATTACCCGTACCTGACCGATCCGGTCGGATTCTATTCGTGGATTTTAGATTCGCGGACTGACACGGAAACGCTGCTCGGAGCTTTCGAGCTTAGCGAAAAACGGGCAATCGCGATGGGACCAGACACCACCTTTACTTTCGCGAGCGTGAGGCGCGGCATCGCCCGCGGATGATATTTCGCTGAAACTTTCGCGATGGAAACCCCCGGAATCGCCCATGGATCTTGATAAGGTTTCCTCTCGACGCGGCGTCGATTTGATGACACGAAGATTTATAGCGCGGAATAATGTCAGTTTAGTCCCGAGGGGGAATCTTTTGTTGATAGATTTAGGCGTTCCTTCCTCCACTCTTCGAGTATAGAATTATTTTCTACGATCGTGACCGGTCGGACATATTGTGAAGAGGAATCTCGCGCTCGCGCAGCTGGATTCAAGCTTCGCTTTTTATTGCTCCAAGGTTGCAGTAAAGAATCGACGTCGCTTTTGTACCTACTTGCAACTTTTATTAAAATGATCTTGCAACGAAATTCACATAAATAGTTAAGCGACTCTCTGATTACGTCTTGCGTGTCGTCTCTTTTTTTAGCTTTATAAAAGACTCGCGATAATAATAGCAGATAATAATAGCAAAAATAAAACGATTGATGATATTACGTGAATTTTGAAGGCGCGTTCGAGAAAAAATGGGGAGTAAAAGATGTTATAAGAACTCATAATTACCACCATTTCGTAAAAACCGTTCGGTGATGATGAACATTAATTGCGGCGCTAATACACGAGATCTCCCATTCCGAAAGTCTCTGTCTCTCTTTTAGTTCTTTTCCCCCTCCCCTGCCTCTCTTTTCTATCCTGTCGATTGTCAGTGGCGTGATCATTATTGAAAAGCCGCGCCGTGGATTATCCCCCGCAATAATGCTTCACGGTCAATTAAAATGCGCTGTTGGATACTGATATACTGCAAATTAACCTCGCGTTGCCGCTTAATCAGCATATTTATTGCTGCCACGCAATGAGAATCGTACGCGGGCGCAGATGCGATACGACGCCAGCCTCAATGTTGCAAATAGTGCCCCAACCTCATTCGAGATACCTTTAATCCTCTCGAGGGGGGCAGGATGACTCGGATACCGGGTCGTATAATGGGAAATCACCGGTGGCGAGTAACTCGGTTATAAGTCATGTTGCTCCACTCTCCTGTTCCTATAAACGCATGCGTAATATACAGCGGAATTTAAACTTCCTCGCTTCTTCATTGCGATCACGGCTTTCCGATGCCGGCCAAGATCGAGCTTTTTTCCACCTCGCATCCCTAATTTATAACAGGATGTTCGATGGTGGGCGCCTTTAGTTGGCGCGTGATGCTACTCCGCGCCAAAAATGGAAATGGTCTTTTTTCGTCAATGTAAATGTTGGCGCGCGAATAATAATTTCCGAGAGTTGAGATCGAAGAGAAAAAAAAAAAAAGAAGAGAATACAAATCGGTAATACGAGTTATCTCTTTAACATTGAACCGCTCCTCGTTATAGAACACGCTAATTATAAATAGACTAGAATCTGACGACTCAATATTTATGCGATTAGCTCGGCGCATCATCTTATTTTTAATGCCCAGGGTTAATTGTGATCAGCGTTAATTTGCCGCATACATAACGCGCCTCGCGCGTAATTGGTAGACGCATAAATTGTCCCGCGATAAAGATTTTCGCGAGGAACTCGAGATAAGATCGCCGCGTGAGACGGCGAGGGCATTAGCACCTCGTTGAGAGAGTCGGATATGTCTTTTTTCCCTGCCTCCCATTTTTAAGGGCCGATACTAATTGCGGGCGGCGTTAATTTACAGCGTAGGTGTCACGCTTCGTGAGATGTATATTCCAATAAATCGTTCCACAATGCGGAGCGGAGTAATGCCACGCCGGCGTCTAGCTCAGCTCAATTTTTTATTCGTCACGGCATAGCCCGCGATATTAATTGTGAGTCTTGTTGATTTATATAAGTACCCATAAGTCCCGCTGCGGGATGAAATACGCTGCGGATAAACGTATGCAAGATCGCGGTATAAGATGAGAATGCGAAGACAAAGACCAAGCGAAGCGTTTACCTTCATGCTCGACAATGTAATGTGGTAATCGTATTCCGACTTCGTAGATGTATCGGAAGGTCAGAATACAATTGATCATGCTTACATTAATAAGCTGTCGGTAGCTTTAAAGAGAATTTATAAGACATATTATGTAGATGTATATTTGCATACGTGGATGGCGAACGTGATATATACAAAAATGAATTAACATTATGAAATAATTATAGCTTTAGCATATAAAGCTTAGAGTTTTATATCGAATCAGTTGTATATACAGAGTTTCTGTTTCATTTTTTGCGTAACACTGTTCACATGATTGTAAGATTGCAGATAATGACACTTAAATTAATATATCAGGCTCGTGGAGCGAAGTTAAAAAATTCCGTTTGTTCGAGAATCTGATCTTGGCATATTATTCGTGTTCCAGAATATTGTACTTTCGTGCGTAATAAGCGAAAAAGAAAGAAATCGTATTTACACGAACGCCAGACAGCGAAAGAGAGAAGACAAGAGAAAGAGAGAGAGAGAGAGAGAGAGAGAGGTGCTCTCGTCTTTATTTTATACACACGACACGATAACCGCTTAAGACCGGCCCCGACGACGCGAACGACTCGCGCGCGCGCGCGCGCGCGCGGATAGAAATGCGTGAAACGCGCATTTAAAGACTCGGACAAATTGCGACCTGACCGCGTGTCCGCCTTCTTATACTAATATGCGAACACGTTCGCCGTCGTGGTCTCGCGCGCGGAGGGCTCTCCTCTCCACGTGAGGCTTACGTGAGGCAACACGCACACACGTGTCGAGTTTCTGTACGGTTAAGCGTAAACTACGTGCCCGCGCTCTTATACTGCGCTTGCAGGCTACCGCATGCGTCCGAGCAACGAACGTTACGTATACAGATCGTGTCCCTGAGCTGACCGCCTTTCCTTCCCAGCAACGAATGCGGTAACGTTTAAATGATGGACTTATGTCCAAGAAACGCGTTTGAATTTTTCGAGACGTTTCAATGGGTGAAAAAAAGCACTTCGTGGCGAATTGGGATCTTGGAAAAATATGTGCGAGACTATACTCTTTCGAATAGATGGATACATAAATACGATAAATAAAGATAGGCGATCGAAGGTTGTTGATAAAATTAGTTTATCGAAAAACCTCATCTTGTATATCTTGCGCCGCGCGTATCAGTGATCCTCAGTCGGAGGATGAGACGTTTTCGACCACTGTATTTTCCGCGATTACTTCTTGCCAAGGCATGTAGATAGTACAAACGATTTTATACACCTCTACTTAGGCGCTATCGGCTCGGCTGAAAAAATCCTCCCGTTCCGAGCCAGGAATGCGTTAGCACAAGAGGCAGAGATTGAGAAACTCTGGGCTACGCGCGACTATAGGGGTCCGCCGGCGGGCCCGATACCGGATTATCCGAGTAGAAAATGTAATGGAACGAGTAAAGTTTGCGTTCACGCATCGTTGGTCCCGTCTCGCGTCTGGCGAGGGAGGCACCATAAGAACGCGTCGACACGGTCGCAACACCAACGCGATTAGGTAACTGAAACCATATCGACGTATGCACGCGTGCTACTATGTGGGTGTATCGCCGGCCACGTTCGCCACGCGGGATACGGCAGGATAATGCGGCACGATAACACGGTCGACTTGCTGAACACTCTCGATCCAGATTCCACGAGCCAGCCTAGTTTCCAGGAGAATCGTGCGAAACGCGAATCGCGTTCCCAGTTTTTCCTATTCCGGCGCATCCACGATCTCGCTCTTTTCCACAGTCTCGTCCAACGCGAAGAAATCGCGTTTCTATCCTCTCCCCCCCCCCCATTCTAGGTTTCAGGTCTCGGAACGGCATCGACGTTTATTCAAGTGATTACCTCCAACTTGTGTTAAAATATTAAGTATGATTTTGAGTTTGGAGTTTTTCCCCCTGTAAAATATTCAGATAGCTTTCACGCGATTTATATCTTTTAATTTTGACACGTATGCCGCGCGTGGCGCATTAGAATGCCGTCCATGATAAGTTACGAGTTCGCGCGAGAGACGATCGTTAGACATCAAAAGTGGTTTTGAATGGTGGCTTGAAATTATTACATCGCCTTGCGTGAACGAACCCAACGGTTTAACGATCCTCCTAGGGCGCAAACGAAGCAGAAATTTAGTTCCAACGATTGATCGTCGTGACCGACCAGACTGCCGTTGGATAAATTAAGGCATAACAGGTAAACGGCTCGTTAACGATACCCGACGATGACCATGTTGCGTTATTGTCGGTCAGCCTGCCGTCAAACTGAGAGTCATTCGACTCTCGTGTGCCTACGCGAGTCCGCGAGATCATTTGATGGCTCCATACTTACGTTCTTCAATCTAATTGAATCCGGAAGAAAAGCTGCTAGAGGGGGAGCATCCACAATCAATCTTTGTCAAAGGTGTCTTGTCTGGTAATGCGGAGATGATAAGGCGCGAGAAAGCACGCGGCTCTACATGCAAATTCTCTGCAGTTAAGAATGATATGTACTGGAAAATGTGGCACGCAAGATGAAGAAATACCATGAATTAATCTACTAAAGTACATGGCTTTGATGTAGAGTAAATTTAATATTAATTAGAAAAACAAGCGGAAAAAATTTTAAATAGCTTTTATAATAATAATTATAGGCTATATCTATATTTAATTATAACTTTCCAAAATTTTTACTTAATTCGTCTTACATTTTATATAATTAATGCAAAGTGAAAATATATTTTTAAATTAAATATATTTAAAAATATAGCCTCACAGAAAGTGCAAAAAACATATATGAAAGATTGTTTCATGTTAAATAAGTTGTTTGTTCACACACAAACATAATCGTTTTAACTTTTCTTTTTCATTCTTTTCAGAAGCTGAAGAAATTCGGAGCAAGTCACGAAAAACGAGTAGCGACATTATCAGTGAGTCAAATTTAGATTTTATTAAATTATCTGTGTTTCAATAAACATTACTTTAATTTTTTTCTCTTCATTTTTTATTAAATTTGATTGTCACGAATCGATTGATTCTTGCTATTCATCTTTTGTGAGCGTAACAAAATATTAATATAAATCTTTTTTCTATTTTTAAGAGAAATTTATAAAAACTTTATTATTATTAAAAACTTTATTATTATTTTTATTTATTGTTACAACTTTATAAAGAGAAAGTATATCTAAAAGTTCACATTGCATTAAAAATAATTATCAACAAATATTAATATTCTGCATATCTTTATTTTGTTTTAACTATTCATACAAGTTTAAAAAACTATTAAGTTTTTTTCTTAAAGGAAAAATTACATTATAATTAAAACTTTTACTAGAATGTTTGCTTCAAAATGTGAAAAATAATCTTTTTATAATGCACAAGGAACGTTATTTCTGAAGAAAAGGACTGTAATAAAACATGACATAGCTGTGCTGTTTAATCTTTATTTATTTCACATTATTAACATTATTAATTGCGATGTGACATATTATTTGAAAGTATAAACGTGTTTTTATAAAAAAAGATTATATTTATCCAAGAAGATAGATTAAAGTTGTTACAATATTATGGAAAGTAGCTCATTTCCTTCCGGAATTAGTGGAGAATTTCATGAAGAATTTCCGATCGAATGGCGTTATTTCTCTTCAAGCGCAAAGTGCGCGGAGGGTTTTTAAAAAATCATTGTTGGAGAAGATGTACGTGCGCAATCAGATTCTTATTCGTCATTTATGACTGAAATATATCGTAGAAAGTAACGCAATATATTCATAATGTGTAATATATTATTTTTAAAAATTTTTTACTTTACTTTTATTTTATTGTATCGGTTAAATGACTAAGTTTGAAATAAAAAGATTCTTGTAGGAATAAATCTTTTTCTCCGCTTATACATATCATCAATTATTTAATGATGAATGACAAGAGATCGTATCGTACATCTCGGAATGTAATAATATTTAAAAATAAAAGAAGAGGTGATTATCCGCGCTTTGATGAATTTGTGAACGTCATCCGTGCGATCATCGTAACCTTCGCCCATGGCCTTCTTTTAATCCCGGCAAGGTTACTACCGGTTGTGATCTACCGATAACGCACGATCTTCGTAGGCCGGCTTAGGTCCTTCGCAGCATATTCATTGATCCAAGGAAGAAAGAAATACAAAGTAGGAACTTATTATTTATGGAATAACGTAGGATAACGTAGGACGCTTTTTCTTATCTACATAAATTCCTGCATAAATTTATCTTACCTCGAGAAATTATAATCAAAGGCTATAATCAACGCTAAGTCTTTGAAGTCTATTTAGAGAGCTGTCAGTTTTTATTTTTTACATAGAAATTTTCGAGAATATTTCAAAACACACAAATCGGAGTTCAAGGAGACTCCTTCGCGCGCGTGTGTACGAGGCGTCTTATCTTTTCATCTTGCAATCGGAAACTTATCGGGTTTCCGGGACTTTCCTCGCGCCTCGCGAAGGCGGGCGTGGACGGCAAGCGTTGAAAATCGCGCGGCTGACCCGTGTACCAGATCTTTTTTCCTAACGACGTGCGCTCCTCCCGGGGCCAGCCGGCTGGCCGACTGTTCGTTTCCCGTCGACTGTACCGGCGGCCATGCATCGCCGATGAGAATATGACCCCAGCATGTATAGCTCAGGCCTCGAAGTAAACTACATAGGCGTTGCGCGCGTCTCTCGACTTCGCCAGGCGAGTCGGTGGTCGTGCGAGTCGGTGTCGTCAGCATGGTGCTTCGTGTGGCGTAGGTGATGGCGGTGCCTTGCCTTGGTGATGGTGGGAGTACCGCAAGGGTCAATCCACGATCCACCATTATATTCCCTCGGCGAAGTCGTGGCACACGGGGGCCTCGGAGCGGGTTCACAGCCACGACGAAGATGACGATGACGACGACGACGATGACGACGACGACGACGACATTCGAACGTTTAATGGTCGGAATTTGTCTGGTCGGCAGACACACAGCCTTTGGTAGAGTTAGTGACTCGAGTTGATTAGAGAGCGATGGTTAGGGTACTGAATCAGACGATGTCGGTGCAGGAGTCAGAAATCGGTGGATCAATCTCAAACAGCGAGTTTGACAAAGGTGAATTAAAATATACAACTTTTAAGAAATAAGTTATACGTGTCTAGCTAGATCGTTAATATAAAATATCGCGTTCATCATTTAGTCAAAATTTGTTAAACTAGTTGAGTATTTTGTATAATAACGCCATTTATATGCGAAATGTAATTTCTAAGTTTTGTAGATATCTACACTTGAGTTTTTTCGTTTTATTTAATTTTTATCTTGCGAGATTTTACGTCGGTGTCTCGTTAAAGTCTATCGTGATCGTGATTTTAAGCGTTTCACGTCACAGAAGGAGCGGTTAATCATTAAGAAACGGTTAATCCATATCCATCATCCGTTAGTTAAGATTCTAATCATCTAATTAGCGGGATTGTTAACGACGGAATGATCGGTAATTCGGTGCATGTATGTGGTGCCTATGTATGTACACGGGTACCGAACGGTCCGCCGTCCTTTAAATACAACTTTGACCTTTAAGAGGGGTGGAATGTATCGTTTATAAAAAAATTAGCCATGAAGAAATGACTCTATCGTAATTAAACCATTGACGTTGGAGGTACCGTAAGGGTCAATCCACGGTCGAACATCATATTCTTCGGCTAGGAGCGTGGCTTTAGGAGCGGGTTCGTATAACTGCAACACAACGTTCGACGCTTAATGGTCGGAATTTGTCTGAATGGCAGGTAACACTGACAGGCACTTGGTTTAAACTCGGTGAGTGGAGGATATACCGGTTACAGAAACCGACACGGGTATCCAGAAAGTTCGCCGATAATTCAAGGCTCGCCCGGGTCGCCGATTAACGTATCGATCATTAGACGATGCCGATCGAAACGACTTTTTCCCGCGACCCAGCTAATCGCCGCGCGATCGCTTTAAAGTTCAAATTGATCGCCTAAATAACGAGACGGACTTGCCTTCTCTTTTCGTTTCTCTCTCGACTTTCTCTCTCTTGGCATTAGAGAGCCGAAATAAAAGTTAAAAGATTTTAAAAGATAATAAGACACATTTAGCAAACAAACAAATATTCTCCAATAAAACTATCTTTTTTTCTCGAAATTGAACTGAATATTTATATTATATTTTCATATTACTTTTGAGGAAATATGTATTGTATTTCGTAATTTTCTTATCTTTTTAATATTTTGAAAATAATATAATAAAAAAATATTTTTTTATCTAAACAATTTTGCAATTGACTTTATGCATTTTTATTGTTATATAACACGAGCAAGTTTGTGACAAAAATTACACGAATAGCAGTGTGTTTAACAAATGTTTGGTGTGTTGTGGTGTTTTCGTCATACCCTTTACGCTTATATGGAAAGTACTGAGTGCTTGTCGAGTCTTAAAGACTGAAATTTGTTCAAATGGGCAAGTACACGAGTGTGTTATGAGTTAAGAAAGTAAATAAGAAGTTAGAAAAGTCGTTGCAAGAAACTAGCCAGACGCGCGTGGAATGGCCAAATGACTAACAGTCCCTCTGGACCTCATCATTTTCAGTTTCACTGACCATTAATGGCTGTCGCCAATTGTCGATATTAACCGACTGGTTCGACCGTTTTCCTCCGACGAGAGAACGGCACGAATCGACAAATCGATTTGTGCCACGAAACTTATTGCATCCGATAGAACATGAGAACAAATCGCGCTTTCGAAATAATATTGTCATAAATCGATGTCGAATCGTCGATTGGATAAAATTTCAACATTTCAAGTTGAACATTTGAAAATTCGAGATTTCATCATGTCCTATATCGAATTCAAATAATTTGTACGAATTTTTCTTTTTTTCTTTAAGATATCTTTTTACAATTATTATACATTTCGCAATTGATATCTGACTTTTCTGTTCGGTGAATTCAGTGAGAGAGACAGAGAACCAAGACCATAAAAGTATGTTTATTTTATTAACCGACTAATATCGCCAATTTAATAATCCATTAAAGAATTCATCGTTTTCTTCTCTATCAATCGAAATAATCGAATTGTGCTATTGTGTTGCAAATAGGCCGATTAGATCGCGAAGAAGAAACGTCAAATACGAGGATCCCATGACAAATTTCATTCGCGGCGTCGAATCAGTCGGCGATTCTTCCGCCTGTCGGCAATCAGGAAAAGACAAGTTCTCGGACGAGCTACGTACGATCTGTTGACCGATCGGCAGAATCGGCGTGCCGGTTGTGCGCGATGCCTTTTTCGGCGAACTGTGAATGTAGCCTGAGCCTGAGGTCTGACATTCCCCTTTCCTCGTCGTCGCGCTGGCCGGTTCGTCCGGGGTCACCGACGAGAGGTCACGTCGCTCGCATGGCATCAGTGACTTTTTCATTTTTACCTCCTATCCGCTTCTTCTTCCTTCTCTGATCTCTCTCCTTCTCGATAACCGCACAGGCACGTGCGCGAGGAGGCTGCCGTGTCGCTCGGAGAAAGAAGATCTCGCGTCTTCGAAGATTTTTTTCAAATTTTTACGAATCCAATGAATTGCTTTTTATCACTAGTCTTTTGTTAGAAAAGTTTCAAGAGCGTCATTTATACGACATTTATAAATGAAATTAAATTATTGGAAAAATTAATTTTATTTGCTATATTTTTGGTATTATTTAATTTTTTTTCGTAGATCTTTTACGATATGTTATTAACAATCCTTTCTTTAGCAGGTCGTTTATAAGCTCAAATCCTAAGAGTAAATTATTTGCATTGTCTGATGTATTAATTCTTCTTCATTAGAGAGAAGATGGATAATTCAAAGACAAACTATGCGGAAATACGAAGTCGCCGCATGAAAAAGCCGCAGTCCCCTCGTGGACAGAGATACGTTCAAGTAAAATTGTCGAGATTCCGCGTGTAT